TTGAAACCACTTCTCTCCAAGTGCTTCAGTTCACCCCTTATGTGTGTCGTTTTCCTTGTCTAATATAGCATTCATGTCATTGATTCTAGTTTGAAGTTTAACTCTTCATGTCTGTCTCCTTTCAGATATCTTGCAAATGTTCAGTATCCATTAACTTGCTGATTTTAGCTAGTGATTCAGGAAAATGCAGCAGGAAAATCGCTAGGGAAAGGATAGGCCTACAGAGGACAATACAAATGAGATCAACTAGAAACTACAGCATAGAAACACTGGTAAATAGGTTACACAATTGTGACTGGACAGTGATAACAAGTTGCACGGATCGTTCATGATCCCTGGGAAAAATTCAAAACAATATTCAATGCCATCCTTGACAATATTGCACCAGTTAATGAGGTTAGGATTAAACGAGGAACCGAACACTTGATGATTACTGAGATATTAGATAATATGAAATTCAGGGACCAGTTGCTAAAAAGATTTAAGGCAACAGACATAATACTTCAGCGCTAAATGAATTCCAAAGGTGAGGAACATAGTGCAGAGACTTATAAAATGAGCAAAGGCAAAGTAATATTGATCAAAAATCGAAGAGTACAAGAATAACCCTAGAAAGTTCTGGCAACAACTAAAACAGTTAGGATAAAGACATAAACCAGTAGATAGATCTAACATAGAACTAGATATCGATAACAAGGTATGCCACGAAACAACTAAAGCGGCAAATTGTTTTAATTCCTACTACACATCTGTCGTATCAACACTAGTAAGTAAACTACCAGCTGCATCAAATACCTTTAACACAGACTCTGATAAGTTTCAAACATGCTATACCAATAAAGGGGTAACCCCAAACAGTTGTCAACTAGTAAGTGTATCTCATTACTTTATTCAAAAAGAACTAAGCAGGTTAAATCCAGTTAAAAGCACCGACCCTGATAACATCCCGTCTAAGTTCTTAAAGGATGGTGCCTCTGAATTGCCAAGCCCCATTGCTCACATAATAAATCTGTCCATCACCACTAATACCGTACCGAGAGGGTTCAAGGAGGCCAGAGTTACTGATATCTTCAAGAAAAATAGTATAAAACTGAGACACTTATGCAACATATGGGAATCTTTATTGAGGAAACGTTTCGCCACACAGTGGCTTCATCAGTCCAATACAAAGCAGAAAGGTGTAAGGAGAGGAGGAGTTTGAGGTAATCAATCCCTCAGCCTGGAATCGATGTGTTCAGTCCATCAGTCTTGTAGAATGTACAGCATAGGGCCGTAGACGTGGCTTATAAACTATAGTCAGGTGAGGCGAAGCAGGAGGAGGCGGGGTCATAGTGGTACCATCCACTAGTGTAAGTAGGTCTTCGTCCAAAGGTTGGACAATTTCTGAAGAATTCTTTGTATCAAGATCTTATGAAGCTGCAGTGTCTGACAGATGTAATAAATTGTTTAAAAAAAACGACAAGTTGAAAATTGAGACACTAATGCAACATATGGGAATCTTCATTGAGGAAACGTACGGTGCACTCACTCTGGCTTCTGCTTTGCCATCTGTGTACCATCTGCTGCCTCCCAGCATACTTAAGGGAGATTATCAAAATACTCTTGGCTGTCTTCAAGAAGCCACTGGATAGGTACCTAAAGTCAGTACTTGATCAGCTGGGGTGTGGTTCGTACGTCAGTTTGCGTGCGGTCAGCAGTAACAGCCTGGATGATCAGGCCCTGATCTACCACGAGGCCTGATCTCAGACCGGGCCGCGCAGACGTTGATCCCCAAAACCCTCTTCAGGTATACTCCAGGTATACGATACTTAACTACTTGGCAGTATACCGCCTTCCCTAGAATTTTGGACATCTTACTGAGTATACTAATAGGCCTATAGTTGCTGTCATCAGGCCTACTATTTTTTCTTGAAGACAGGAGTAACCCTGGTATTAAAAGAGGATAACATGAAAGCAGCGTTCATAGAACACCTGGAAGCATTCTATAACAGATGGGAAAATAAAAAGTCTGGGCTGGATGGTGTCGCCCTTGATGCTGGCCATGTAGTCAGAAACTGTAAGGCTGGAGGTGCTGTCCTGGAGACAGTAATGGTGAGATGGAGGTGCTGTCCTGGGAGACAGTAATGGTGAGGATGGAGGTGCTGTCCTGGGAGAGAGTAATGGTGAGGATGGAGGTGCTGTCCTGGGAGACAGTAATGGTGAGGATGGAGGTGCTGTCCTGGGAGAGAGTAATGGTGAGGATGGAGGTGCTGTCCTGGGAGACAGTAATGATGAGGATGGAGGTGCTGTCCTGGGAGACAGTAATGGTGAGGATGGAGGTGCTGTCCTGGGAGACAGTAATGGTGAAGCTGGAGGTGCTGTCCCGGGAGACAGTAATGGTGAGGATGGAGGTGCTGTCCTGGGAGACAGTAATGGTGAGGATGGAGGTGCTGTCCTGGGAGACAGTAATGGTGAGGATGGAGGTGCTGTCCTGGGAGACAGTAATGGTGAGGATGGAGGTGCTGTCCTGGGAGACAGTAATGGTGAGGATGGAGGTGCTGTCCTGGGAGACAGTAATGGTGAAGCTGGAGGTGCTGTCCTGGTAGACAGTAATGGTGAAGCTGGAGGTGCTGTCCTGGGAGACAGTAATGGTGAGGATGGAGGTGCTGTCCTGAGAGACAGTAATGGTGAAGCTGGAGGTGCTGTCCTGGGAGACAATAATGGTGAAGCTGGAGGTGCTGTCCTCGGAGACAGTAATGGTGAGGAAGGAGGTGCTGTCCTGGTAGACAGTAATGGTGAGGATGGAGGTGCTGTCCTGGGTGACAGTAATGGTGAGGATGGAGGTGCTGTCCTGGGAGACAGTAATGGTAAGGATGGAGGTGCTGTCCTCCTGGGAGACAGCAATGGTGAGGATGGAGGTGCTGTCCTGGGAGACAGTAATGGTGAGGATGGAGGTGCTGTCCTGGGAGACAGTAATGGTGAGGATGGAGGTGCTGTCCTGGTAGACAATAATGGTGAAGCTGGAGGTGCTGTCCTGGGAGACAGTAATGGTGAAGCTGGAGGTGCTGTCCTGGGAGACAGTAACGGTGAGGCTGGAGGTGCTGTCCTGAGAGACAGTAATGGTGAAGCTGGAGGTGCTGTCCTGAGAGACAGTAATGGTGAGGATGGAGGTGCTGTCCTGGGAGACAGTAATGGTAAGGATGGAGGTGCTGTCCTGGGAGACAGTAATGGTGAGGATGGAGGTGCTGTCCTGGGAGACAGTAATGGTGAGGATGGAGGTGCTGTCCTGGGAGACAGTAATGGTGAGGATGGAGGTGCTGTCCTGGGAGACAGTAATGGTGAGGATGGAGGTGCTGTCCTGGGAGACAGTAATGGTGAGGATGGAGGTGCTGTCCTGGGAGACAGTAATGGTGAGGATGGAGGTGCTGTCCTGGGAGACAGTAATGGTGAGGATGGAGGTGCTGTCCTGGGAGACAGTAATGGTGAGGATGGAGGTGCTGTCCTGGGAGACAGTAATGGTGAAGCTGGAGGTGCTGTCCTGGTAGACAGTAATGGTGAAGCTGGAGGTGCTGTCCTGGGAGACAGTAATGGTGAGGATGGAGGTGCTGTCCTGGGAGACAGTAATGGTGAGGATGGAGGTGCTGTCCTGGTAGACAGTAATGGTGAGGATGGAGGTGCTGTCCTGGTAGACAGTAATGGTGAGGATGGAGGTGCTGTCCTGGGAGACAGTAATGGTGAGGATGGAGGTGCTGTCCTGGGAGACAGTAATGGTGAGGATGGAGGTGCTGTCCTGGGAGACAGTAATGGTGAGGATGGAGGTGCTGTCCTGGGAGACAATAATGGTGAGGATGGAGGTGCTGTCCTAGGAGACAGTAATGGTGAGGATGGAGGTGCTGTCCAGGTAGTCAGTAAATGTACGCAGGAGGGAATGCAAATAAATGACCTCGAGGGAGACAGGAGCTGTAGTAGGGAAACAAGTGTAGTCAAGGACAAGATAAAACCAATATTACAAACTAGAAATACCACAGGAGATAGCAAACAAGGGGACTCCACTAGCAATAGTGAGGATACATTACCAGAAACAACTGGTGAGAGCTCCATTGTTAGTACTAGTGAGAATAGGTATGAGACAGGTAAACATGCACCAACAGGGAATACAGTCACAGAAACCCAAGGCAAACGGAAACCAAGCCTGTGCACATACTATGCACTTGGTATCTGCAGGCATGAGAAATCTGGAAAAACAGATGGGACGTGTAACTATGACCACCCTAGAAAATGCCCTGCCCGTATGACAACAGGAAAATGCAAACTCACTTCCTGTAAGCTTTTTCACCCTGAAATGTGTCCCTCTTCAGTACAGGAAAGACTCTGCTATAACTTAAATTCCCAGGCACACCATCTAAAGGGGGCAAAAAGATACAAAACATCCAGGCCATGGGAAAACCTGGGTAGCCACAGCTACTCAAGAAGGAGAGGTTTTTAGTGCCAGGAAGGAAAAAAACTGGCAGGAAATGGCGGAAATCGTACGCAAAATCCAGTCATTTCTGGAGTGGAACCACAGTCGATGGCCTCCACTCCAAACCAACAGATACAGATACTAGTGCCGGAAAAAAAAGTCCCCCCCCCAGTACCACCAATACCACCAGTCCGATGACATTCTTCTTTGCAAATATGCAAGGTCTAAAGCCAGCAACAAACAACAAAATACCTTTCATCCGTGGACTGCTTGCAGAGACAAATGCAATGTTCGCGGCTTTCACAGAGACCCACATAAAGGATCACTTGGACAACGAAATATGGATCCCAGGTTACATCCTATACAGATGTGACAGAGTGAACAGGCAAAAAAAAGGAGGGGGGGGGTTGGCCTGTATATCGCAGAGTGACTTGTTTGCACAGAACTGCTTAATGCCTCAAATGATGTAGTGGAAAATTTTAGCAGTAAAGATCGAGAACCAAAGCCTAGTCATTGTTGTAGTCTACAAGCCTCCGGATGCAACGTCCCAGCAATTCCAGGAACAGCTGTCAAAAATTTACCACTGTCCGGTAAATTTGCCAGCTCCTGCCCCCAACATCTTGCTCCTGGGAGATTTCAACTTGAGGCACCTAAAATGGAAGAATATAGCAAATAATGTTGTTGCAGTAATAACACCAGGAGGCAGCTCTGACGAGAACTCACACACACACACGAGCTTTTAAATCTCTGCACATTATTCAACTTATACCAGCAAATAATAAAGCCTACTAGACTGGAGAATACACTAGACCTCATCTTCACTAACAATGATGATCTGATACGAAATGTCACCATATCAAAAACAATATACTCAGATCACAACATAATCGAGGTTCAGACATGAATGCGCGGAGCCCCAGACCGACAAAATGAGATTAGTCACAAAGGAACCTTCACCAAATTCAACTTCAATAACAAGAACATAAAGTGGGACCAAGTAAACCAAGTCCTAACCGATATAAGCTGGTAAGATAGACTAAGCAACACAGACACCAACTTATGCCTAGAACAGATTAACTCGGTGGCACTCGATGTATGCTCAAGGCTTATTCCTTTAACAAAAAGGAGGAGCTGATGTAAAATAGAAAGAGACAGGCGCTCCCTTTACAGGCGACGGAAAAGAATAATAGAACGGCTAAAAGAGGCCAATATATCTGAAATGCGTAGGGAGTCACTGGTCAGAGAAATAGCAAACGTCGAACTTAAGCTAGAGGAATTTTATAGGAGTCAGGAATCGCAGGAAGAGCTAAAAGGCATAAATGAAATCGAAAGAAACTCAAACTATTTCTTTTCTTATGCCAAATCAAAGTCGAGGACAACATCCAGTATTGGGCCCCTACTTAAACAAGATGGGTCCTACACAGATGACAGCAAGGAAATGAGTGAGCTACTCAAGTCTCAATATGACTCAGTTTTTAGCAAGCTGCTAACCAGACTGAGAGTCGAAGATCAAAATGAATTTTTTATGAGAGAGCCACAGAATTTGGTTAACACAAGCCTATCTGATATTATCCTGACGACAAAAGACTGTGAACAGACGATGAATGATATGCTCATGCACTCTGCCCCAGGGCCAGACTCATGGAACTCCGTGTTCATCAAGAACTGCAAGAAGCCCCTATCATGAGCTTTTACCATCCTATGGAGAGGGAGCATGGACACTGGGGTCGTCCCACAGTTATTAAAAACAACAGACATAGCCCCACTCCACAAAGGGGGCAGTAAAGCAATAGCAAAGAACTACAGACTGATATCACTAAGATCCCATATCATAAAAATCTTTGAAAGGGTCCTAAGAAGCAAGATCGCCACCCATCTAGATACCCATCAATTACACAACCCAGGGCAACATGGGTTTAGAGCAGGTCGCTCCTGTCTGTCTCAGCTACTGGATCACTACGAGAAGGTCCTAGATGCACTAGAAAACAAAAAGAATGCAGATGTAATATATACAGACTTTGCAAAAGCCTTCGACAAGTGTGACCATGGTGTAATAGCGCACAAAATGAGTGCTAAGGGAATAACAGGAAAAGTCGGTCGATGGATCTATAATTTCCTCACTAACAGAATGCAGAGAGTAGTAGTCAACAGAGTAAAGTCCGAGGCAGCTACGGTGAAAAGCTCTGTTCCACAAGGCACAGTACTCGCTCCCATCTTGTTCCTCATCCTCATATCTGACATAGACAAGGATGTCAGCCACAGCACCGTGTCTTCATTTGCAGATGACACCCGAATCTGCATGACAGTGTCTTCCATTGCAGACACTGCAAGGCTCCAGGTGGACATCAACCAAATCTTTCAGTGGGCTGCAGAAAACAATATGAAGATCAACGATGAGAATTTCAATTACTCCGATATGGTAAACACGAGGAAATTAAAACTTCATCAGAGTACAAAACAAATTCCACAAAATAGAGCGATACACCAATGTCAAAGACCTGGGAGTGATCATGTCGTAGGATCTCACCTTCAAGGACCATAACATTGTATCAATCGCATCTGCTTGAAAAATGACAGGATGGATAATGAGAACCTTCAAAACTAGGGATGCCAAGCCCTAGTTGCTTGTTCTATCTAGGCTGGATTATTGCTGCACACTAACAGCACCTTTCAAGACAGGTGAAATTGCTGACCTAGAAAATGTACAGAGAGCCTTAACGGTGCTCATAACGGAGATAAAACACCTCAATTACTGGGAGCGCTTGAAGTTCCTGAACCTGTACTCCCTGGAACGCAGGCGGGAGAGATACATGATCATATACACCTGGAAAATCCTAGAGGGACTAGTACCGAACTTGCACACGAAAATCACTCACTACGAAAGCAAAAGACTCGGCAGACGATGCAACATCCCCCCAATGTAAAGCAGGGGTGTGACTAGCACGTTAAGAGACCATACAATAAGTGTCAGGGGCCCGAGACTGTTCAACTGCCTCCCAGCATACATAAGGGGGATTACCAACAGACCCCTGGCAGTCTTCAAGCTGGCACTGGACAAACACCTAAAATCGGTACCTGACCAGCCGGGCTGTGGCTTGTACGTTGGTTTGCGTGTAGCCAGCAGTAACAGCCTGGTTGATCAGGCTCTTATCCACCAGGAGGCCTGGTTACAGACCGGGCCGCGGGGGCGTTGACCCCCGGAACTCTCTCCAGGTAAACTTCAGGTCTCCTTGAACCCCTCCGGAACGGTGTTTGTGGCAATAGACAAATTTATTATGTGTGCAACGGGGACTGGTAATTCAGATGTTCCATCTCTTATGAACTTAGCCGGGATGTTATCTGGGCTGCTGCTCTTAGTTAGATTTAATTTAATTCTTTTCATACGAAGTCATAAGATACACCGACTAGTTGACAACTGTTCGAGGTGACACCCTTATTACTGTATTATGTTTTAAACTTATCAGAGTCTGTTAAAGGTATTTGATGCAGCTGGTAGTTTACTTACTAGTGTTGATGCGACAAATGTGTAGTATGAATTAAAGCAATTTTCCTCTTTATTTGTTTCGTGGCATACTTTATTATCAACATTTAGCACTAAGTTAGATTTATCTATCGTTTTATGCTATAACCCAACTGTTTTAATTGTTGCTAGAGCTTTCTGAGGTTGTTCTTGTACTCTTTGATATTTTGAGCAATAGTGTCTTGCCTTTGTTCCTTTTTATAAGTCTCTGTACTCTGTTCCTCACCATTTGGAATTCATTTAGTGCTTCAATATCCTGGTTGCCTAAATCTTTTTAGCAACTGGTCTCTGAATTTCATATTATCTAATATCTCAGTAGTCATCCAGGGTTCAGTTCTTCGTTTAATCCTAACCTCTTTAACTGGTGCAATATTATCAAGGATGGTAGTGAACATTGTTTTGAATTTTTCCCAGGCATCATTTACGTCCGTGCAACTTGTTATCTCTGTCCAATCTCAGTTCTGTAGCGTATTTAGCAGTGATGACATCCAGCCAGGATTCAGAGATAGATATAACTGCCGCCCTGGTTCTGTTAGCTAGAATCCTAATCTCTGATATTTTGGGTAAGTGACCTCGCGTTGATATGAATATTGCAAGAGGTCATTAGCAGTGCCAATATTCTTTTTGCCTTTCTGTTGGAAGACGTTAGGATATATCACTAAGTCAATAGCTTGGTAATTAATATTTTCTTCACTTATTAAAATAATGTGCTTAATAATTGAGAAATAGAAGAATCAACAAAATCCTTAAAGCCATCAAATCCACATAACTTCTTGATAATATTAAAGTCCACTAATCAGCTAGTATTACTGGCATAATTTTTCAAAACAAATAAATATACAGGAACTATATGTTCGTAATCCCGGGTCCCGGAGTTAGTTGAGGAGCTGAGAAAGTTAGCATTGAAAGAGGAACATTGTTTGCCGCCCAGATGTTCCTCAAGTTCCACAAGTTACCGTTTGTTTTTGTGTCAAGAGTTCTCCTCAGTGTGTGGGTGGAAAATTAATTCGAGATTTTGTTCTTGTGAAAAATCATTCACATGATTTATAATTCTGACAGTTATTTGTTGTTCGTTCATTTACTCCCTAACAGTACGACTATATGTATAATATATACTGAGAAAGTGTATTTTCTGCATCCTTGCCCCATTCATCTTTACCTTTCCACTGTTTTATTGTTTTATCATTTCTCTATGTTTTCAAAGGTGTCTTTCTTTCATCGCATTCCTTGGTAATATCTGGATGTTTTACTTGGTATCTCAATAAAGATTATTATTAATATTAAGATATATATATTCCCAGAATCAAATCTTTCCGCACACACCCATTCCTCTATCTTTCAAGGGTTAAGGTTACAGTTCACTGCAGCAGCAGCAGCTCCTCTCTATTGAATTACTCATTTCTGTCATCTCGGACAAGAAAAATGAACCCCATCTTTGGTATATATGTTATTGCTGTTGTAGATGTCCGAATTATGAATAAATGGCAGTGCAGAAAATATGAAATTTGTGTACGTTATTTTTCTGTAAAATAGTATTTTAAAAATATCTATAAAAGAAAAAAAAAGGAATATTGAAAAATAAAAATATCGGATGAGTTTAAAAATGGAAGAGCTATTTGGTAACACAACGGGAACTAGCTTAATAATTTAGCATCAATTCCAGACTAATTTACTTTACTTCGTATTATCTGTCAGATAAGATATACTTCCAAGTTGTCAGGAAGAACAACACTTTACGAGGACTGAATGACAGAACTTACAAACCATACACGGAAGGGGATAGAACCCGCGATCAGAGAGTCTCAAAACAACTTACAAATAAGTTTAAGATTTAAAACTATTGTTGGAGTATAGATCAGCATCTTAACAATAGCTCATTTATATTACATTACTGAATACTAACTTGGGGTTAGCGATAATATCGATGAGAGCGTCGACTATCATGTCCTCAGTGAGCTGTGTCCACTCCAGAGTGAGACCCAGATCATTGTTCCTAATAAACATGGCGTTCCTGGGATGGTCACCGAAGAGAGGCAGTGCGAGGAGAGGCATAACATGGTAGATGGACTCTTGTAAGCTGAGGAGACCACCGTGTGAGATGAACGCCTTCACGTTGTCGTGAGCTGTGGAACACTTACTGTTAAATGTAAGTCATGGAGGAGTCACTGTAGGTGGTACATGTCAGACATTACTTATATAAATCTCTCTCACTCTAATACTAAATTAAATTATTCCACAGAAAGGATGAGTATTATGAGTTCAATTCCCACCCGTACCGTGGTTTGTTTACAATAGTGTCATTATCATTTCGTGGGTTATGATGACGGCTTTGAGGGACTTGAGCTAGAGTTCGTCACGGCTAGGCTGGCGGGAAGTTCATCTGTAAAAATTTTCATTTGTGGTCAGAGGGACCCATGCTAACCTTCGTATGGTTCATAAATATCCCTACTTGGATGAATCTTATTGTAGCCAGCTGGCCCAGTGACTTACGCGCTGACCTGGAATTTTACGACTCACTTGCCACGAGTTCATTCCCCACCGTACAGTGGTTTGAGATGAATATTAAATATGTTAACAATTACTGATAAACTTTCCGCTAAAATGTTGTCAATTTCCACATTTCATGCAACTATTACTCACCTATTTGTGGCTGGACAACACCTAATTTTCACTGAGAAAAAGTCTGCTCATAAATGAAATTAAATATAAATTTAACCAGGTGATACGGGAGAAGTTATTTCTGTTAACCCCTCTTTTGTATTAGTTATTCTATTCTTGAGGAATTCCAAAATATTTGAGGTCAACTAACTAGTGAGAGTGTAGCCTTTCTGACAAACGATTATTTGCATGACTGAAATAAAAGAAACACAGCCATGATAGAAAAAAAATTATTTTTATCACATAATTCTCATTACAGATGATGACAACGATATGAGATTATACTCACCTAAAATATCTTGTTGGGGGAGCCATTTGCTAATCATCACATTATCAGTGAGGTTCTTTAACTCTCCCTCGTATTTCCAGATAACTCGTTGTGGCAGCCTACGGAAGGCCTGGAGAAAGAGGTCGCGGAGATGGACTGGCATACTGGCGCTGCTTGCAATACTTCCCAAGCTGAAGTATATGACGCCTGAAGACCCAGCCTCCGAGATCCAAGATTCTAACTCCTGTTAAACAGTGGTTTGTGATTAAAAACCATAGACAGCTGGAATGCTATAGGAAACGTAAGTAGTGATGAAGGCGGCTCAGCGGTCCCTGCGGCAGAGTGGCTTCCTTTTCCTGAGCGGTCTCTGCGGCTGAGTGGCTTCCTTTTCCTGAGCGGTCTCCTTTCCTGAGGGGTCTCCTTTTCACACCTATATGCTAATGACCTTTTTCACACCTATATGCTAATGACCTTAACCCCACCCACGACCCCCACCCACGACCCCATCCACGACCCCCACCCATGACCCCACCCACGACCCCCACCCAGACCCCCGCCCACGAAACCCACCCATGACCCCACCCACGACCCCCACCCATGAGCCCACCCACGACCCCCACCCACGCCCCCCACCCACGACCCCCACCCATGACCCCACCCACGACCCCACGCCCATGCCTCTGTGCCCCCACGACCCCCCGCGCCCCCACGCCCGCGCCCCCGTGCCCCCACGACCCCCCCACCCGCGCCCCCGCGCCCCAAAGCCCGCCCCTCGTGCCCGACCGCGCCTTCTGCAGCGTCGTCCGGATCGCCCCCGCGCCCCGAATTTTTTTCCGATTTTTTCGAATTTTTTTTGAATTTCATTTTATTGTGCTCTCCACTTCCTCGAATCAAGTTTTTGAGGTCCCCCCTCCCACTTTCACCCCCATCCCAATTTTTTCTCGATAATACAAAGACTCCATCTCCTTGGATCAAGTTTTTGGGTACCCCTCCTTCCACCCCCAAAATTTCTCCTCCATCTCCTCGGATCAAGGTTTTCTCGATAATACAAAGACTCCAATTCCTCGGATCAAGTTTTCTCGATATCAATAATACAAAGATTTCCCCCACCATCCACTTCTACCCTCTATGTCCAAGTATTTCTCCTCCATCTCCTCAGATCAAGTTTTTAAGGTTCCCCCTCCCACTTTCACCCCCATCCCAAGCATTTCTCCTCCATCTCCTCGGATCAAGTTTTTTAGATTCCCCCCTCTGGGTATAAGCATTCAAAATGGACTCCTACTTCAACCCCAAAATATTCCTGCTCTACTTCCTTGGATCAAGGTTTTCTCGATAATACAAAGACTCCAATTCCTCGGATCAAATTTTCTGGAAATCAAAGACTCCATCTCCTTGGATCAAGTTTTTCTCTAAATCAAAGACTCCATCTCCTTGGATCAAGTTTTTTTGGATTCCCCCCTCTGGGGGTAAGCATTCAAATGAACTCCTCCTATGGGGCATGGTGCTCTCTCTTACTACAAGTCTAAACAAGTGTGACGTCACCCCCACCTGTGTTTACTCGGCGGTCAGTGACGTCACGTGATGACCTCACACATACAGGCTGAATCTTGTCGACTTCCCCCTATGTCAATGACGTCACGTGATGACCCCGCACACAGGCTGAATCTTGTCGACTTACCCCTACACATTTCATATACAACATAGGAAAAACATTTTCACTCTTAACCCAGGATAACCCAAATAATTTCACATTTTTTCGTTATACCCACAACAATCCACAATTTCTTCACAAAATACAACACAAGTCTAGACATTTTTCTCGTTTTAACTATTTCATCAGAAAGTCACCACAACACTTATAACCACTTTTCGATAAATTCACTAGTCACAATTTTACATATTACGAAGTTAATACGCACACACACCTCACTTTACTTTGAACACCTTCAAAACACTCTCATAAATCATTTGAATACTCACAAAAATAACTTTGAACATTTCCAAACAACACTGAAACACTTCCAAGACAACATTTTGAATACTCCCAAATAAGATTTGACAGCTTTAATTTATCTACACTTAAATATTTCATTAAATTACAACTCATCTCCCATACTACTCCCTCATTCTCCAGATTTTTACAACAGTATCACAAAAACTAACTCAAACACTTTACTTTGAAACAACACCAAAAACACCATCAATTACCTTTGAATACTCCAAAAAATCATTCGAACACAGCCAAATCACCACTGAATACTCCCAGAAACACTTCATAAATACTCTTGCACATCATTTGAACACCTTCAAAAACACCTTTCAATAGTCTCAAACACCATTTGTGCACTACTAATACACCACTGAATTCAGTCAAAACACCACCAAATCACCATAAAACTAAGATCAAACATAACAGACTAACACCCATTTTTCACACAAATCCCCTCAAATCACTATAACCAAGACGATTATCAATTTCTATGAGTACACTCTCCTCCAACTAAGATATAACATGAACGCAAAAAACATGAACACAAACCAAACACACACGAACACTTACAACAGAATCAAGTCTTTTTTTCGATATCTCTAGTTCGACAACAACACCCACAACACCCACATCCCACATCACCCACAACCTACATCACCCACACCCCACAATTTTTCTCGTTTTAACTAATTTCATCAGAAAAAAAGTCACAACAACAACAACCCACAACTTATAACATCTTTTCGGTATCTCTAGTTCGACAACAACACCCACAACCCACAACACCCACATCCCACAACACCCACAACCCACATCACCCACAACCCACAACACCCACAACCCACAATTTTTTCTCGTTTTAACTAATTTCATCAGAAAAAAAGTCACAACAACCCACTTATAACATTCTTTTTCGGTATCTCTAGTTCGACAACAACACCCACAACCCACAACACCCACATCATCCCACAACACCCACAACCCACATCACCACAACCCACATCACCCACAACACCCACAACCCACATCACCCAAAAAAACAACCCACTTATAACATCTTTTCGGTGTCTCTAGTTCGACAACAACACCCACAACCCACAACATCCACATCCAACAACACCCACAACCCTCATCACCCACAACCCCCAACACCCACAACCCACAAATTTTTCTCGTTTTAACTAATTTCATCAGAAAAAGTCACAACAACCCACAACTTATAAACACTTTTCAGCAACTCTAGTTCGACTACATTACCCACCCTCATCACTTACCATTTTATTCACAATTTATTCGATACAATTTTTTCCCCTTCTTTTAATTGAATCTTAAATGTAATGCACATTCCTCCCTACATTACTAAAATTCTAATAAATTCCTCTCCATACCCATCCCCTTGTATCCACATAAATTGATATTATACTCACAACAACTAATCTCACTACCCAACTACTGAGACACGTTTCTACACCCTCCATTCTTTTCCAATATATCATAGCTTTTTAATTCTATAAATTCTTTTAAAATATTCACATATTACCTTTATTTTCAGTAAAACCCCCCCATATTTCATTAAATTTCTAATTACAACCCTCCCATACCCCTCTCCATCTCACTCCATTTCTTTCATCCACTCACCCGTTTCCCAACACACCTCTTCGGAACAAACACAAAAATCACATTTCACACCCAGAAATGCATCTCATACCCATCTCAAATCCACTAAAATCACTGTAACCAGATATTCACAAAATTCCAAAACCCACCTAACACACACTACAGCACTTAAAACACTACCAAAAAACACCATAAATTACATTGAATTACCCCGAAAAAATATCATTCGAACACCCCCAAAACAAAAACTGAATACTACCAAACAAAGATCAACACTACCAGCTAATTTCCATTTATAGAAATCCCCTCATTCCTCCCTACATAAATTTCAAATAAAATCTATCTCCTAAAATCCACGTAGTTTCTTTATTATACTCATAAACCCCAAAAATTTTTTCTCAGTTCAACTATTTCATCAGAAAAAAAGTCACCCGCATTTTGACTCAGTAATATTCAAAACATGTCACAAATTTTTAGAAAACACTCATTTTTTTAAATATATCCGAACACATCCAACTAAGATATGATATAAATAAATTTTTAGCCACATTCCCTCAATTTCCCGTAATATGAACAAAATTGTTTGGGGAAAACATTTAGAACATTTCCAAATTACGTTGGAGCACATTCATAAATATATTGGAACACTTCCAAAATACATTAGAGTACCCCAGAATTATTTTGACGACTCCATTTTTGGATTTTTCCAAATTAGTTTTAAAAACTTTATCTTAAAATCAAACATTATTTTTTGTTGGTAAACACACGCAATGGTAGAAATATTTACTCGATTTCCGAATAGAAACACATTCCTCGCTCTGAGAGACTCCTTGAGCTTATATGCCTTCCCCCAAAAGTATTGCCCCAGGATTTTTGTACAATCCCCTCCAGCGAGGCCATGAAATGGTGTTCACACCAAGGTAGATTTAGATAATCTCTCTTTCCAGACCAACGGGTGTCCTCTTGTGCTAAAATTTGGTGAGGTCACAGGGTGACAGACACCATGAAATTAACTTAAATGAGCTTAAATTGTATTCTACCTCAATCCTTTTTTCATGGTAAGGTTTGATTGATTTAAAATTCATCATGTCTTAAACTTTTATTAACATTTCTTTTTTTAATGAATGAATGAAACATCATATATTATTAATCTTGGTGTAACAACACGCTTAAACATCATAAATCCTCCTCTCTAAGTCTTGTTCTTCCAAGCCCCGTCACAGGGTTTACCTGTAAATTTTTTAATACATTTTTTTTTTTTCCCTTAGCATATAAGGGGGGAGAAATTTGCACCATCACCTGTAAAAGATATAAACCAACTAAAAGTTACATTTTTTTTCACTATCCCAAACATATGCTTCTCGTTAACTTAAATATTTCCCTTCTTTGACTTAAAAGCATAATCGTACTGTGTCCCTTTTTAAAATTTAAAAATGAATTAAAAGCGTCTTTTTAAAATTTAAAATGATGTAAGTATTTGGTAGACATGATTCTTGGTGTTCAGGTAGGGGGAAAAGGTCGAAATGGTAAGTGACACATTTCATGAAGAGATAAATATGAGTTATATATATTAATTCAAATATATATCTCTCTCTTAAAGGGTTATAATTACTTCCTCATAATAATTTAAGTAAATT